CGGGCGGCGGCGCGAGCGGGCACCTCCAGGCCCCGAGGCGCCTCCCGACTTCCTGACGGCTTTTCGGCTTTTGGTCTCTCTTAGCCCAGTCTCCTGGCTTTTCCCTCTTCGGGCCCCTCTTCCCCTCCCCACCTCCCGCTCGCCACCCCGGGGGTTTGTCAGCCGGGCCGGAATTCCCTGCGTCCAGGTAGCTGCGGGCTCTTCCTGCCGGGTGGGCCAGCCGCCGGGAAAGGGCCCCTAGCCCGGTCCCCTCCATGGAACCTGTGGCTGGGGACTCGGACATCACCTCGGGCAATGCCTGGTCTCCCTCCGCCCCAGTGGTGATGAGGTGGAACGTTTGGGGGAGGGTGAGAAGAACTGGGCCAAGACCCCAGAAAACCAAAGGACAGAAACCAACCAGAAACAAACACAGGCCTGGGCAGTACCTGCTAAGCCTGGCTACCAGTCCCCGTGCAGCCCCCGGGCACCTGAGACCTGCCTGGCACCTGAGACATGGGCACCTGAGACCTGGGCAGCCCGAGACCTGGGCAGCCCGAGACATGGGCACCTGAGACCTGGGCAGCCCGAGACCTGGGCAGCCCGAGACCTGGGCAGCCCGCCTTTCAGCCTCAGTGGTGGCCTCAGGGCCTGCAGCCTGATGAGCCCCCATTTCCCACTGGCCTGGGGTTGTGTGGCTGGTCCGAGTTGCGCAGCTGAGGTTAAGCCTGTGGGCTGTCCTCACCCATCCATGTGTCCACGTGTCCACGTGGGGCTGTGAGCAGGCCTCCTCCGCCCTTTCCGAGGCCCGGCTCCTGCCGCCCAGAGACACACTGGGCCTGTGGCCCCCCCCCCCCACCTGTGAGTCTTGCTCCTCTCTGCCTTAAGGCGGGTGTGCCTGGAGGCCTCAGGCAGAGGTCCCCTGGCTCTTCAGTGGGCTCTAACAGGGAAAACAGATGGGGTCTCTCTTTTGTGTTTTCCATTAGCTGGCGGGTGGCTTAAAAGCAAACAGTGTTTGAGTACTTCCTCCAGGTGCCAGGCATTGTCTCGGTTGTGTGCCTCCCAGAGGCCTGGAGCCCAGAAGCCACACAAACTGCAACCATCACGCCCTTTTATGGAGCAGGAAGTCCAGGCAGCAGCGGTTAAGCCGCTGGCCTGAGCTGGGGGCGTGGAGACACTATCTCCGGGGTCCACGCCACGCGGGCAGTATGGCCAGGGCTGCATGGCCAGGGCTGTGCCGTTTTCTCGGCCGGCCCATGTGGGATGTGTCCGAGAGCCTGAGCCGTTGTCCAGGTCTGGGCCTTGCCTTTGAGAAACTTGTGGCTACTTGGTGACTTTCAGCCTCTGAAAGATCAGAGTTTGTTCTTGTGGCGGAGGCTGGGTGGGTGATCAAACACACCCTGCGTTCGTGCAGGGCCTTCTTGTGAGAGCCGGCAACGCCCACTGTCCGAGGAGCGCCCGCTGACATCCACGGGCATCCGCGGGCATCGGACATGCTGCTGCCCGGGACGGGCACGGGTTCGGGTTGGTGATTTCCTTGGCGGGTTTGAGACCAGCTGGGGATTGGGCCCTCTGTCTCGGTGGCCACAGCCAGACTTGGGGTGCACGTGGGCTGAACTTTGAGTTGGGGGCCTGAGACCACCTGCCGCTGCTGGTTCCTGCTTCAGCCATAATCTTCGCTTTTCTACCTGAGGGCATTGAGTGGGAGTGAGAAGGTGCTGAGGGAGTTCTCTGGAAGGTGCGGGCCAGCTGGAAGGTGTGTTCCAGCACTCCTCAGCAAACGCGGGTGATGGCACATTGCCACTGAGCAGGCTCGCTGGGGCGGGCGCTGTGCCCCTTGCTGGTCTGCCCCTGCCCAGCGCTGAGGGTCCCCTTGCAGCCCCCTCTCTGCAGCCTGGCAGGGCTGCTGTATGGGTGTGTCCCTGCTGGCTTCTGAGCACACCTGTTCTGGGAG